GATGTTGATGATTTATTGGAAATAATATTTGTTCTTACAATATTGAGATAGTTGACAGCCATTCTAGACCTTCATTAGTAAAGTAGTGAATTAATGATAGCAGTTGTAGTGTTTTCAGTGCGGAGATCTCACTGTTGAGGTTTGGAAACATGTTTCTGCTGTGTGTGGGACTCAGTTTGACCGCAGAACAGCAGAGATCATCTCTGAACCCAGATTAGACTGATGATGATGATGATGATGATGATGCTGTGAATTCAGATGCCAGTTCCTCTTTTCTTCTGCTGCACGCCATTAAACTTGATCTTTACAGTTAACAGAGGCATGAATTTAAACCCAGTTTTAATTACATCAACCAAACAACTTACAGTTTCTAACAGTCCTTTGAATTCAATTCAATTAAAATTTCCATGAAATTAATCTACAGTATGTGAGCACATTAGGGGAGAAAAGAGCAGAACCTAACACCTGCTTAGTTGAAACACAGAGTTTAAAAGTTTCCACACAGGCTAGCCTGACGAAACTGTATTTACTGGTCGCCATATCAGCACTATTTAGAGAAAAGAAATTTCAATATTTGACAATCTTAAACCATTTATTTAACCATAGTAAACGTGCATTTCCTAAAGAAGTCAGTGTTACATTAAATGTAGTGTTTATTTAAAACAAGGCAAAACTGCTGTTTAGTCCATTTGCTACTATTGTATTGTATTTCTGTTTTGTGTGTGTGTTCATTACTTACTGCTGTGTGTATGTGTGTGCGTGCGTGCTCACTGTGTGTATGTTCACTACTTACTGCTGTTTGTGTGTGTGCATGTGTGTGTGTTCACTGTGTGTTTGTGTGTGTGTGTGTGTGTTCATGTTCACTGCTGTGTGTGTGTGTGTGTGTGTGTGTGTTCACTGTGTGTGGGTGTGTGTGTGAGTGTGTGTTCACTACTTACTGCTGTGTGTGTGTGCGTGCGTGTGTTCACTGCTTACTGCTGTGTGTATGTGTGTGCGCGTGTATGCGTGTTCACTGTGTGTGTGTGTGTTCATGTTCACTGCTGTGTGTGTGTGTTCACTGTGTGTGTGTGTGTGTGTTTCAAATACTGTGTAAGCATTTTTAAAAAACTGTAAAGATCAGCAGAATTTAGCAGATATGCAGTCAATTGAGCTACTTTTTAAAAATTTATTCTG